CTATTCTGTGTGCACAAAGCCTTGTTTATTAATATTATTATACAGTATTTATAAAGCGCCAATAGTTCGCTCAGCGCTGTACATTACAAAGGGGGACAGAACATGTGACAGAACAATAACAATACAATGCAAAACATGAGGGGATCGAGGGCCCTGCTCTTTCGAGCTTACAATCTAGGAGGGAGGGGATGGTGGCACAGGAGGAGAAAGCTGTGGGGGATGGAGTGGTAGGAAGAGTGGAGGAGGTCGGCAAGTTAGCAGGGGGTGGGGTAGGCTTCCCTGAAGAGGTGGTTTTCAGGTTGCGCCTAAAGGAGAGGAGATTAGGTGATAATCTGATGGGTTGGGGCAGGGAGTTCCAGAGGATGGGTGACACCCTGAAGAAGTCCTGGAAGCGGGCATGGGAGGAGGAGACCAGGAAACTAGAGAGAAGGAGGTCTTGTGAGGAGCGGAGTGTGTGTGCTGAGTGGTACTTGGATATTAGGTCGGTGATGTAGTTCGGGGCAGTATGGTGGACCGCTTTGTACGTCAGTGTTAGGATTTTGAATTTGATCCGTTGCGCAATCAGAAGCCAGTGGAGGGATTGGCAGAGGGGGGTGGGGTGGCGTAAACAGAGTGGTTGGAAAGGTGAATAAGTCTGGCAGCCGTATTCAGGATCGACTGAAGCGGGGGGATAGCCAGCGGCGAGGCAGGCCAGTAAGATTGGACTTGGGGCTGGAAGGATAGGTTGGAGTCCAGAATGACACCAAGTACTCTGGCCTGCGGGGGGATTTTGATGGTGGCGTTGTTGGACATGATGGAGAAGTCAATAGGGGGTGGGGTCCGGGCTGGGGGGGGAAGACAAGAAACTCGGTTTTTGGAGAGGTTCAGTTTAAGGAAGTGGAGCGACATCCAGTCTGATATGTCGTTCAGTAGGTGTGTGATTCGGGCGGAGACTGAGGGGGTGAGGTGGGGGGTTGAGAGATAGATTTGTGTGTCGTCGGCATAAAGGGGCCGTTGAAGCCGTGAGAGTGTATGAGTTGGCCAAGGGAGGAGGTGTAGATGGAGAAGAGAAGGGGCCCGAGGACGGAGCCTTGAGGGACCCCAACAGAGAGGGGGATTGAGGGGGATGTGGTAGCATTATAGGTAACGCTGAAAGAGCGTTGTGACAGGTAGGATGAGAGCCAGGAGAGAGCAGAATCTCTGAGGCCAAGGGAGTGTTGTTTTTTGAGGAGGAGGGGGTGGTCGACTGTGTCGAAGGCCGCGGAGAGGTCAAGGAGTAGGAGCACTGAATAGTGGCCATTAGCGTTGGCAGTTAGCAGGTCGTTGGAGAGTTTGAGTAAGGCAGTTTTGGTGGAGTGTAGGGGACGGAAGCTGGACTGTAGGGGATCGAGGAGGTTGTTGTCGTTGAGGTGAGAGCTTAGGCGGGTGTAGACTAGGCGCTCGAGGAGTTTGGATGTGAATGGGAGCAGGGAGATGGGTCTGAGGTTGTTCGGGTCATTGGGGTCCAGGGAGGGCTTTTTTAAGTATGGGGGTGATGTGTGCATGTTTCAGAGGGGAGGGGAATGTGCCGGAGGAGAGGGAGAGATTAAAGATGTGGGTGAGGGAGCATAGGATGGAGGGGGAAGGAGGTTGTAGGAGTTGTGAGGGGATAGGGTCGAGGGGGCAGGTGGTGAGGTGGGCATCAGAGAGGACCTTGGAGACTTCCTCGATGGTAGTAAGGTCAAAGGTGCGGAGTGTTGAGGGGGCTTCAGTATGAGGAATGTAGGGTGGGGTGGAAGTGGAGGTCAAAGCAGTGGTGGGGTCATGGGAGAGGGGTGATGAGGGGGTAGCTGAGTGAGGGGGAACGGGGTTGGAGGGAGTTTGAGCAGTGACGAAGTCCCTGCAGATTATGTCGAGGGAGAGGGGGGATGAGGGGGGTAGCTTAGCAAGTATCAAGAAATGACTTACAACATCCTGACACAGAGGTACAGGACCTTGACTGTCCTTACTAAACTATTTCCACGACAAAGTGACCTGTGCTAGCGCAAAAAGGTACACTTATGCACATATTGTGGAAATTCCTTTCTATTGGCCTGTTCTGGCAACAGGTTCTTTAAATAACACAACAACCTATGGACATGTCCCTTTTTGACAACTCAGCCACTGTTCTCCTTAACATGCCATCTTCTCTTGAAAACATTATCACAAGTCACTATTACAGCTTCTACATGCAAAAAGAGTCTGTATTCCAAGTACATAAAAAAAAGCTCCCACCTACAGTATCACAATGGTTTGCAAGGGTGAATGATATACAGCGATAGCAGTGACTTCTGCCCTGAGGGATGAATCTGAGGAACATTCAGCTAGATTGTTTCAATGGGAACAATTTCAAATGTCTAATAAATATGTGATATTTTGAGAAGCCCCCTCACTATCTTGATTGTTTCAGGGGACACTTTCTTGGACACAAATCGGAATGCAACACTAAACAGGCCTGTCAAGCAGAAGATGTCATAGAGCATATATGGCAGGAAAACTCTGAGCTCTACTGAACCTCTACTGAATCTGTTCCATGCTGGTTACCAATGGTGATAACTTCAGGCACCTGGGCATTGTAGCAATCTTTGAGATATAAATGCCACTGGTGGCTAAATTAACTTGGTGTCACCATTTCTCTACTGTAGGGAGGATGGGAGAGAAACACTTTTGGGCTATCAACTTTCTCACTAAAATCAAAAGTCTGCTTACTGGGGCAGAGATCTCAGGTTGAAAGAGTTCCTAATCTAGATAACCCAATACACAGGTAAGTGAAGTCCCAGGGATTGATGTCTGCAATGCAACTGATATAATTTGAGGGGTGCAATATACATAATGCAAGAAAAAACATTGTTCAAGTTTTTGAGAGGTGGAGAAAGACACTTTTGGGTCGAGTTCTAATGTTGCCACCCACTAGTCATTCGATATAGGACCCAAGTCTATTTCCCAGTTAGTGTTGTATTGGCATACACCTCTCAATTCAATAGCTGAAAAAAGTAAGAGATCAACCCTTTTTCGTATCTATATTAGCTAAGATGGAAATAATGGGCATATTTGTCAAGGTAAGCTTTTGTATACAGCTCTAACAGCTCAGGACATGTAGTTGTATGTACTGGAAACATTTTTAGCTAAGAATCTGAAACTTGTCCTGTAACATACAAAAACTTTTAAGCACATTGTAATATGCAGTTGACATATTGAGCAAAGTCCTTAAGCATACCATCCATTAAACTCTTGTAACTTATTAAGTTCTTTGTAGTGTATATTGTTCTAGATTGGGGTAAACCTATAACCTTCATATTGCAGTACTCTTTTTGTACAGATCTGGCATTATTGGTTTTGACAGAGCTAAATATAGCCAATGTAGCTTGACTATAATCTTTGCTGATATAACAGTGCAAAATGAAAGGACAGGGGCGTGGTGGGATTCTAAAATTGTAAAGGACCACTTAAATAAATATTAAGAATAAACAATTAGACAATTATGGCCAAAGGACTCTAGTAATACATTTTATTTACTCAGCTACATTGCTGACAATTGTAGTATAAAAGTGGTATTACATATTGCCCTGTCTAGACACAGCACAGGGGAACAATGCAAATGTCTATGCAGCCTTTTTCTGTCTAATTGCGATTAGTGACAATTACAGGGATCTGTGCAGAAATTAACATGAGAGCAAGCACTAATTGTGGTGTATTTTCTACAGTATTGATGGCCCCCTGCCTGCTGTTCGAAAATGTACCAACAGAAATCAACGCAAGAGCAAAACAAAACAAAACATCTCATTAGACCTTCTGCTTCCATCATTGGCTGACCTTGTCGGCTAACCCACCATTACTTAATGATTGCATGTGATAAAACTTCACCAGAAGCACACTGTGTGTTATAACATGCATTCTGTTTGCTAACAGTTTATTTTAATTTCTGTAGATATAACACATTAAGGACAACAGCAGAAATATGGTTAATATTAACATTGTTGGAATAGTCCTACATTAATTAGGCTCTATTAACTTCAGTTTACACATTCAGCCATTCTAGATGGTCATGCACATGAGCTTCCAATCTTTTGTATTAGAAGATTTTTTTCAGGCTCATTGGCCAGCTATAGGTCTGAGGTCATAGTTCAGTTATAATCATACATATATCACTTTCTAGCTATGAATTTGATAAGCAGTATGCATGTGTTCCTTTGCAAAAGATAGTGAATTGCCCGTTTGTTTTTAGTTTTTATACCTAATAAATGTATCTTTAGTTGTTTTTTTTTTGCACAAGATTCATGCACTATTCTCTCTCTTTCATTGTTCATGTTACATAAGGCATGCTCAGACCATAATCAAAATGTCTTAACTTCTTTCTAGATTTGATTATCTTAAACAAAATCAAAAGTTAAACATTTTAGAGCACTTGGGAAAATATAGGATATTCTCATATCATTATAACATTATATAATGTAAAAATATGTTAATGCTATTCTTGAATTTGGCAAATCTATGTATATAGGTTACACTAACATCTACATTTCACCAGCTGAATAGCTTGACACACCAAGGGGTCCTAAAGCAAGATATGAGCCAGGGCCTCTGAGCTTCAGTCTCACATCTCACAAAAGATTTCCAGACCTATCATCCCCAACTGCTATAACTACCCCTGGAAGAAACATGCTATCCTATTACCTCTGCATCTAAACTACCCAACCCTTATAACCCCTCATGTGTATCCAATCCCCCTACACAACTTCAATACCCCTTCCTACTCGCACAGTGTTTTCTATGCTTCAGCAGAAGCAACTTAGCCACACACTTTTTCTGAAGGTAATGGCAAAGGAGAGGTTAATTTGATATGGCTAGGTTGGCCATCCATGCCTTCAATGAGTAAGGGCCCAGTTTCTACCACATACTTTGATACTTCTCTTACTACACCACTAAAGTGTGACCTTATAGAGAGCTCTCTGCTTCAGGATTCTCTTCAGTTGTCTGCTTTAAGTTTATTATAATTTTTTATATTATCTCACCTTATTTTCTTGGGGCTTTACCACTCTCATGAATGCTCCTCTGGAACCTGCCACTTCACGCTCTTTGTTTGTCACTTTCCTGGTGTCCAAAAACTTTAGATTAGGAAGTTTGTTCAGGACAAAGTACCTGCAAAAAAGAGCCTCAGATGAACATTTGTCATTGTCAAAGCTTGCCCTATGATTCACATGCACATCCATCTCTTCACACAATGAAAGTGACAACTGGCTCTACCACAGCACCTTGTTATTGAGAATGTTTTGTGAACCATACGGAACTAAACAATTCCATTGGAAGCACATGTAGGTTATTCATAAACACCATGACCACATTTGAAATTATTTTATAGTATAGTGTATTTTATCCACCAGGTACATTTTGTAGCACATTCAGGAAGCATATTACAAACTAGCAGCTATATATTTATCCAACATTATCTAGTAGAAATACTCCAAAGGCACTTATCTGCTGATGAAAGGAGTAGCAAACATTCAGGTGAGTGAACCAGGTGGGGCAAGTACTAAACATGGATTTTAATGATTAGATGAAAGAGGCCATCCAAAGGGGACAGTAGTGACAAAGGCGCCGGCAGAAACAGAAGCAAGTTTGTCATCACTGGCTGGGTACGGATCACAGCACAGAACGAAAGGAGGACTCAGCCACTCTCATTCAGTTTGGAGACGCAGGAGGACAGGGGATGACAGCTTCTGTCTACTCAAGACTTTCTGTCTAGGGAATTTAGTACTTGCAAAAGGTGAAGCGTGAAGAGCAGGCAAGTGATATCCTGTGACTGTACGACTAACAGTGGCTGTCTCTGCCTACCAGACGTTCTACCAGTTAACCTGTACACAGACACGTGTACTCGTCTAACCAGGGCAGCTTTTATTTCTGCAATATGCCTGCCATTTTCATAATAAGCATGCTCTGCGTGCAACACTTTCATTTTGGTCCCAAAGCAAAATGTTGCAGTTTGTCATATGAAAGAACACAACAAACTCAAACTACAGTAAACTTGGCTGCCCTTCAAATACATTTTATGAGTTAGTTCTTTCTTATAATAAGCATCACAAAGTTTAACTGAAAAAGCCTGTAATAAATTGATGACAGACCCCCTGACACACTAAAGATTATTACTCATTCTGTCTAAAAAAGTAAGCTGCAATGAATTAGCGGGGCGAGATGCTTTTTGTCAAACATAAATATGTGTCATACCTGCATTCAAGAAACTGAGATATCAAACTGGCCAAAACATTTTCTGCTCTAACAAAAATGATATGTCACCCTGCTAAAGAGAAAAATTTGTGATGACTAGCAGAAATAATTGTATGGGAGTGTGGGATAGGACAAGTATGGGAGTATAAGAGCACAAAAGTCACAGCATTCATGCACGTTTGTTATGACTCTTCTATTAGCATTGCAGAAAATTCCAACTCTAGTGCAGATCATTACACATCCTGCTCTGCATTTTCCTCCTCGCTTCCTGGTTATAATTCAGACACACAAACAGACAGTGCATTGTTTTGTAGCCAAATATTTAACTACTTCAGGTGCTGAAACAAAACTTCAAAATGAAAGAGCTGGAGGCTTAGCCAGCTGGTTTGTTCAGTACCCCCTTTGATGTCATCTAATACATGTGAAAATGGCCTTGAGCATATTCCCCTCAAACAAGGAATACTTGACTCATGAAGTTCACCTAGACCACAGTGAACTTTATTCTGAAGTTAAGTATTGTTACTGTAGAGAGCGAAGAACTGTAAATGTCAGATTCTTCTTGTTAATGACATTGGTGCCACTGAAGTTATTCTGTAATCACTGTTCTGTTAACAATAAAACTGCAGGTCACATTTGACAGAGAGACATGGCTACATGTGTCATTGTCATCATAAACAAACATTCTTCCTTGCAATCGCAATAATAAAGGAAGTATTAAAGCTAAGCTACAAGTGCCAAATTAGATGACCTCTTTATTTATAGGATAAACCTTTATTGGATAACATCAGCATTGTAATAACAATACAACAATCATTATTTTTGACAATCCAAAATAAGCTTACTTGAAAAACTCCTTTCATGTTGTGAGCACTACTTGTTTGCTGGCCATCTCTTTCCACAACTACCTGTAATCCCTCAAAATTCAAAGAAGTGCAGCACTTAAGATAAGTTCCATCAATAAATATATAAAAGTTCAATGAATAGCAATAGACCCTTATAAGGCGGTATCTCAGTACTTCAAATGCTGCTGTAAACAGCCGACCAAAATAGCTACACTATTGGGCACCTGTTCTTTGAGCTCCTATGCGAGCTATTACATCTGCAGGAAATCCCTGTGATATCCAGTATCCAGAGAAGGGAGCCCTTTCCAAAGCAGAATACCTGTCCATCCTAAGGGGGACCTCTGGACCAGGCAGATTCTCACTACTCTCCAAGGCTTGATGATCAGAGAGGCAGCCCACCACCTATCATTTATTACTACATGCGCTGTTAATATGCACGTCCGGTGAGTGCGCATTTCTGCTATTTTGGTCGCTGTTTACACCAGCATTTGAAGTACTGAGATACCTGCCTTATAAGCGTCTATTGCTATTCGTTGAACTTTTATATATTTATTGATGGAACGTATCTTAAGCGCTGCACTTCTTTGCATTTTGATGTTATTATGGAGGTATTATGGTCACCTTTAGTGCAATAGCTGCTACACATTCTGAGCGCTCACTATATAGCTTGTTATTTATTTACCTGTAATCCCTGCTTGTGTTGCAGCTTCTCTTTTGCTCATTATTTTCATTTACTTTGAAATTCTAAAGACCAGGGCTTTTTGTCAGAGAATAGCAGTTGGTACTCAAATCCAAGCTGCTAAAATTCAGTAGCTCTGCATCTCTGCATACAGGACCAGTGCTGAAGGTGCCAGTACCAGTGGCAGAAGTGCCAGTACTGAGTACCAGCGTGTTCCAGCTTAAAGTGTTGCTAAACCCTCAACAGTAAGATCAGTCTGTAGATGCAGTAAATCATGATAGTTATACTCACTGTGGAACCTAAGGGGTTAATTCTCTGCATTGTGTAAAAAGGCTGTTTGATCCTGTCTTCTCTGATCCTCCTTTTGTTCAAATGTCCACGTCTTATCTCCTGATAAGACAGACTGAACCGTAGCAATTCTGCACACGCTTAGTTTGGTGTGCATTGCTAGAGAGGTTTTTTCCTTGGGAGAGTGCATGTGATCAGCACAGGGCCAATCAGTACTGTCCAGACAGAGGTCAGTGGTTTTGCATCCTCCTAGAGCAGAAAGAAAACTCCTCCTACAAGCTTTAATCAGTGCTCTGCTGAACACTGATAGAAGTCACAAGACTGCTCCAACTTTTGATGGGAAAAGGTATTTAGCAGTTTATATGTACTAAAATAATTGCATTTCCATGTTGTGTGTACTGTAGGAGACCAGATATAGTGAATGCAGGGTCCTGGGTTTAGTAACACTTTAAGGGAAAGCTCTGCTGAAGACAACATATCCCATGCAAGCAGTCATTTCTGTACTGACTCCTGAAACTCCTCCTCTCCCCTTTAGTTCAGACAGCAGACTCTGTGAAATGTATGATACAGAGCATTGTGAATATGACCACATGGACACAGGTGTTTGGAGCCGGAGAGGTGCAGGTGGTATGTACAGCCACTCCTAGCGATAAATGGATGTATGTGGTTGTACTTGTGTAAATGCCAATGCATCTCTGCATCATGCATGCACAGTGTATTTCCCAAATGCCTTTAGGAAATATGTCATATGTGCATGGACAAGTAACTGCTCCTGCATTTATGTAAATACAGGAGTATACAGCCATTCACTTCTATGGCCAGATGTAAAGCCCAGCTACTGCACCTCATGTATGCAAAAAAACTGAAAAGTTTAAGATTGGTATATGTTATGCCTGCAAACATCTGTGTGCATGAGATCTAACTGTCACAAACGGCAAGGAAGCAGATGTGTGGGATTCTTTATAGAGTTAGTTTCAAGATCATTCAGATAAATAATATAAGTAGGCTAGTAATAATTGAAATTTAATATGGAAATTAATGTACGATTTTAAAATTTTGATCATTAATATGCTTTAGTTTAAAGGATAGCGTGTTACATGGTACACCCATATTCCGGGTGTAACAAGTAACATGTTATGAATAGACTGGCCCCCGCTCCTCCCCACTCCACATTGTGACAGCTAGTGGGGGATCTTCTCCTCCCCACTGGCAGTCACAATTTTTTAATAAAATGCGGCCGAGCAGGGCCCCATCCACCCAGCCGCATCATTCACTCACAGCGTTCTTTGCATGAATGAACTACAAGTCCAGACAGCCTTTGTCAATGAAGCTTAGAGAGGGAGATGGAAAAGCAGGTCAAGGAATGTATTGCAGTGCAAAAGGGCATGCTGATTGGATGAGAGAACAAACAGACAGAGAAATAAGCTCATAAGAGTGCTACTTCCTTTTACACTGTCCAATCAGAGGGTGAGCATGAGGAATAGACTTGCAAGTGAAACTGCGTGCAGGACTCTCCTGTGTAGCAGAGCTGTGTAAATTACAGGACTGGATGGAGAGGAATACAAATAATTTTGGCCGGTAAAACAGCTCTCGCATACAATATGTACAGTACTTCATCTGTGTATTTAGCTGTTTACTGGAGACCAGCTTTAAGAAACATATACAGTATGGTAACAGACACTGACCAACTATAATAGCATTGAACTTTTAATTCTCTATTTTATTTTGCTTTTATATTTAAATGTAAGCTAACAGTCCTCTATCTCCTCTTCCTTACATGATACATACATTGTCTGAGAGAATTTCTTGCAATTTCTGTGCCTACCTTAACTGGTTACGTGCAACTAGACTATCAGGATGTACAGTATTCAAGGATGAGTTTAACATGAGTGAAGCTTACTTTAGGTTAAGTGTGGTGTCATTCAGTGTCTTTATAAATGGCATAAAGACAAGATTGATGGATTTGCTGGAAAAACTGACAATGCTTGAATGTTCCATCTGAGAAAGAAAGTCTCTTGACCATTTCATCTAAATGGTATCATAAAAGAGATCAGTGTGTGACATATACAGGTGAATATGTTCTGTTCCATGAACAGCAAGCAAAAATCAGCAAAACTTGTAGAATGGCCCTTTGCTTGCTGACATCTGTTAAACTGCCTTACTTAATTTTACTGACACTGGCTTTAAGCACATTTTATTAGTCATATATGAGGCATTACTTTTACTATCTCTAATTAGATTCTGTTTACTGTGTGTGTTTTTCTAAGTATGTACTGATTGCTTATCACATCTGTGTATCCTATGTATCTTAAGGTAAAAAAGATAGAATCTGTATGTGTAAGGCCTCCCCAGACCATTGTTATACTCAGCCAAGAAAAAATATGCAGCATGAAGTTTCAAATCGCTACCACTGGAATTTGGTCATATCCCAAACAAATGCTTCTTTTTTAGGCTGTTATTACCATAATTTCTAATAGCAGCTACCACCTCTTAAATATGTCTCTAGGTGAGTATCTGTGAGCCACTTGAATGGAAAAAAAAAAGGAATCTTGACGAAAATTCTGTATATTGGAGTATAGAACAGGACACGGGAATTGATTTTTAGATTATAGGTTATATGCCACTTTCGCCACCTTCACTTGACAGAATACTGCCAAAAGCTTAGGCTGAAAGTGCATCCCAGTGTACCCATATAACCCACCCCACTCTATGAGGCTACAATTTTTAGCAAGCAGTAAGATGATCACAGATAAAAGGTGTTCTGCATTGTACTCCAAGATATTGAATTTACAGGTATGTCAAAATTCCTTTTATCTTAATTTCACACTATAGGACAAAAGTATTGATTCTTAGTTCATAGGTTGTCACCATTTCTCTGTTTGAGGGGTGTGCAACAAAATAGTCAAAACAATAGCAACAGGCCTACAGGAAAAATTAACAAGGGTCAACAGATCAGAACAGACAGTTGAATGTAGAAGCACTTTTGTGTCCGAAGCACACAATAACGAAGGCCCATCGACTGCCTAGTTAAAAATTTGTTTTTGAAAACATGAACAAAGCATCAGGTGGTAGCCATGCAACCATAGAAAAAACACGTTTGATGCTGAAAAAGCCAAAGAACCCTCTCAGCTCTGGGAAAATGGACTCAGGTAGGAAAGGAAGCACCCATTCCCAATAGCAGAAGCCCTTGCAAAAAGACAAAATAACCACCCAGCTGGGTGGTGGAACAGGAATCCCATAGAGGGACTGCCTTGTGGGAAAAGAAAAAAGGGGTCAATCCCCAAGGAATTGGTAGCCATAGATGACCACTATCCCCACCCATAAGGTAAAGCAAAAACTGTTTGCCATGCCATCAAGGCAAAACATGGGGAGGGGAAATGAAATCCCCATATAAGGTTATATGAAATGTGCCAGGGAAACAAGAAGGGATGACTTCCAGTGTACTTTTTATCCCTGTAGCAGAAGAAAAAAAAAAAGGGTTCCCAGAAAGAAACAGAGGGAGTCAAGGTTCCATTCTTACTAAGGACTTGTTAAGAGGGTACATTCTAGGTGAAAATTACACAGTGTGATAGATTGCAGAGTATGGGGGAAGGGATCAGCATGTCCCAGGAAAAGAGGGGCACACAGAATAGTAGGGAAGAGGGTAGAGGAGAAGAGGTGCAGTCTTGCAGAAAGACCAGGATTATTTTTATCAGGAAAAAGTTTATTGTTGGTAAGTTCTCCAGTTCAGTTTGACATAGTCAGGGCAACTAACACATTAGAATAGATTGCCAACAAAGCAAGGGAGGATTTCTAAAGGCTCCAAATGCCTATCAACTAAACATTTAAGGAGGGAATACCCTGAGTAGGAACAGTACCTTGTTTATTCAATGCAAAAATGGCTGGGTCCACAGTGGGAACAGGCCATTTATTTTTTAATTCTTCCTCCATAGGGTATAAGGCAGCAAAACATGCATAGAGGAGGGAATAACCTCTCAGAGTGAGGCCAATCAACATACAGTGCCCAATCAATTTTTATCAAGATTAGGGAAAGGCTTTCAAGACATTGTCTTCCTTCTTGTGCCTAGTATAGTATATGGATGTTGTGCAGAACTAGGTGTATCCATCCAGAGATTAGTACATGCTGCCTAAGTTGGTAAGTTCACAGTAGCCAGCATATGGCAAGAAGGATTGACTTAATGAAAGTTCTGTGGTGAAAAATCTTCAGCAGCACCTGCTAATATGTCAGTATCCCCCTTGTCCCCTTTAAATGTAAGTGAGACAGGCAATTCAGGTTCTAATGATTGTATATAGTCAGAAGGTAAAGAGGCAGAAAAGTGATGATGGCTGGTGGCGACCACTGCTTCCAGAACTGGAGATAGCCTTTGGAATAAATCAGACATATAGTTTTGTCAGGCAGGCTGCATGGGAGCCCAAATCAGGGGGCTGGAATGTTGTCAGTGTAAGAGCTGTGGAACAAGGAAACATCTATTAACCTGAGGAGAACTTAAATGTTCTTTAGGGCCTACAGCAGATCTTTTGGTACTTGTCCCATGTGCGTCAACTCCCAAGTGCCTGCAATTCGCCATTGCCAAGTACGGATCTTCCCCTTCAAGGGACTCACAGAATTGAGGCAAACTGAGGGGGGTTCAGCATGTCCAGTATGACTCTCAACAACCCAGGCTTAGAGCCGAATTCCTGTGGCTGTGTCACTGAGGTATTAGGCAACAGGTGGGACAGCAAACAATCAGCTTGCATTGTCAATGGAAAATGTTGCCTGGAAGTGTGCAGTGCTGAGGAGCCTTATAAGCACGATATCATTAACCAGAGGGGAACTTCTGCGGTAGAAAAAAAAGGCCAACAAATTGAATTAGGTAAACAATAAGATTGTTCCATAAACTGTGGTTTTAAAACTGCTTGTGTGCTTTGCACTGTGGTATAATGTTTTGTGTGCTGCAGATCCAAGTAATGGTCCAACAAGACATGTGAACCAGCATGTAAAGATACAGGAAAACTTTGCGTTCCCTTATCCAAGTCACTGGTCCCCTCCTGGATCCAGGCCTCGCCCATCTTCAGGCTCTGGGTGCTGTAGGTATGAACCACAGTCCTGGACATGTATACAACCCTGCAGCTAACTACTCACCTTGCACCAGGTGCCAAGGTGAGTGCCTAACACAGGATCCAGTGCCAGAGTAAACATTACAAGTTGGCCCATTGCCACGGGGTCTGAGAACAGTTCCCTAGGTTTACACTGAGGGTAACCAATCAGGAAGATGCTAAAGCAAAAAGGCAATAAGCAGTCAGATCTTGATAGAAGTGTCAGTTGAATGAGGAAAGGAAATCTGGTAAAAAAATAGGTGTCCATCACTTAAGGAAACTAGCAAGAAACTGGAGCCTCACAGTGTGAATGGCGTTATATGGATACATTCTGGGGCATTCCTAGAAAGGTTTTGCCAGTGTCAAATCACCTGAAGGTAGTGGCATATAACCCATGGTCTAAGAATTATTTCCTCTGTCCTGTACTGTATGGTTAAGATAAGAGCATAGCATTTTATATTGAAAACAATATACCTGTATGTTAAAAAACATCAGAGATTTATTGGTGATATATAAAGGATTGTGTTCACATAAAATCAACAATTTAAACGCTGAAGATAAAAAAAGCCACCAACCTGTATCGCTGATAGTCATCTTCATCTTTCTCTGTGCTAACAAGTTCATTTGGACAAGCCTGGTTACCAAGCAAGCTCAGGTACTCTAAGGATGGGGCAGACGCGGCCAATGAGTCCAGAAAATGGTCCAGCTCTGTCAGGTATCACAAGAAATGTTAAGGAACCTGCCACAAAAAAATCCTTCTCCAAACTGTCTACTATTCCTTACCATGGGTAAACCTTTTCTCTGGCATATCTCCATTTTCTGACCAATGGGGTGGCAAGCACCAAAGGGCTACATGCAGCCCTTGGGCTGAGAGCTGGGCACCAAAGAGATAAGTGGTCCTTTACTAAAGAGGGAGCTAAAGGCTAGGCATAGACAAGCCAAATGTATGGCAATGTCAACTGCTTTCAAACAATTTTAAACTAGAAGAGCCTAAAGGATCAAATCACTTGTCAATCAAGAGTTTCTATGGCAACAATGATCAATCTAATTTGTTGGTAGAAGGTTGGCTTCAATGGAGCAATTGTTATAACACACTGAAAGCTGCATTAAAGTGGTTAAAAACAGCACAAAATTTCCTAGTGCATAAGGATAGTCATATATACTGTAAACACCAAAACCTTTGGGTAATGAGAATCATTCAAGCACCAGTGATAACCACCACAAATTTTGGGCCATCAAAGCTTTGTTTCCTTTTCTCCACTGAAAAAAGATTGTTTGTTATTCATCTCAAAGAATTTCTGCATGTTAGAATATCTTTGTGTAACAACACCCACACAAGGAACATGTGACATTCAGCAAATATTCACTGCAGGTAAATCTTCATAGTGCAAATGTGTAGGCAGGTGCAGTTTATCCTCGCTGCTGTAGGTGATACTGTTCAGCTGGATGCTGTGCAAAAGGGAATGGAAGTTGAGAGGACTTTGTTCCTCTGAAGCCTTCGTAGATGTCTTCAGGGGAGTAGCACTTTGATTGGAAGCTGCTGCCCTCACTAACATCCATGGGCATCTTTATTGAGGGCAATGTTAAAAAACAGCACAGGCTCACTGCGGTGGACATGCATTTGCAAAATTGACATCACAGGGATGGGTTCGCTGCTGGCTAGGGACGGTGTATTTAGTGCTAGGGAAAGGTTCTGGTAGAGGAGGGATAGTCCATGGATGCCACTCCTGGCTCTGCTATCTGGGAACTCTAGGCAAGGACCTTCCAGTAAGTTTACTAAAGGTGCCTGCACCACTGTTCTGCCTATCAGCCACCCCTTCACCAGATGCTGCTCTGGTAACATAAGCCTATCATAGTGTCCTCTCAGGTGCAGAAAGGTATTTAAGTACTGCCAACATTGTTAGGAGCTATCGTACCTGGGTTGTCCAAAATATTAAAGTGATTCTAAAAGCTTTTTTTTTTTTTTTTACCACTTGTCTACCGGGCACTTATACCCCCTTCCTGCCCAGGCCAATTTTCAGCTTTCAGTGCTGTTGTACTTTGAATGACAATTGAGCGGTCATGCAACACTGTACCCATATGAAATTTTTATAATTTTTTTCACACAAACAAAGCTTTCTTTTGGTGGTATGTACTTGCCGTTGGGTGTTTTATTTTTTGCGCTATAAACAAAAAAAGAGCAAAAAAAGTTTTTCTTTGTTTCTATTATAAAATTTTGCAAACAGTTAATTTTTCTTCTTCACTGATGTGAATTGATGAGGCTGCACTGATAAGCACAAGTGATGGGCACTGATAGGCAGCACTGATAGGCACCACTGACGGGCACTGATAGGCAGCACTGATGAGCACTGATAGACAGCACTGATGAGGTGGTACTGATAGGTGGTACTGATGAGCTAGCACTGATATGCAAAATGATGGGCACTGATAGGCGGCACTGATGGGCACTGATAGGCGGCACTGATGAGCTGCAACTGATATGCAACATTGATGGGTACTGATAGGCAGCACTGATGGGCACTGATAGGCGACACTGATGGGTGGCACTGACTGGTGGCACTGCAGGGCACAGACTGGCGGCACTACTGGGCACTGATGGATGGCACTGCTGGGCAGCACTGATAGGCGGCATTAATGGGTGGCACTGCTGAGCACTGGTGGGTGGCACTGCTGGGCACAGGTGGGTGGCACTGCTGGGCACAGAAGGGCGGCACTGCTGGGCACAGGTGGGCGGCACTGCTGGGCACAGATGGGTGGCACTGCTGGGCAGTGATCATCAGGGCACTGATGATCAGTGCCAATCCGTCCTCTGACAATTGCCGGTTATCAGCAGTACTTTTCTCACGCTGTGAGAGCATGAGGAAAGTGCAGCTGATAACCGGCAAATGCATTTACCGGTGATCTGCTGTGGCATTGGACATGACTGATCACAAGGTAAAAGGCCACTGTGATTAGCCTTTTACCACATCACATGATCAGCTGTAGGACATAGCGATCACGGAGATCGCCGGAGGCGAGCAGGAGGGCGCCTTCTGGGAGGACATCATATGACGTCCTCCCAGAACTGGCCAGCCGCAGTGTAGCCGTCATTTGGCCATCTGTGGTCAGCAAGTGGTTAAATAAACAAACATGTCTATATTTACCTGCTGTGTGCAGTGGTTTTCCAAAGAGCAGCCTGGATCCTCGTCTTCTCAGGTCCCCCCGCTGGCACTCCTGGCCCTTCCCTCCTCTCGGGTGCTCCCACAGGAAGCAGCTTGCTATGGGGCATCCGAGCATGTGCACTCCCCAGCTGCTGCTCCGTGTGTCCACTCACTCATGGAGCCGTGGCTCTGCCCCGCCCCCTTTCTCTTCTCATTGCCTCACTGCCACCTTCCTAAGTTTCTGGGGGAGATTTACTAAAAACTAATGCCCTCAGAATCTGGTGCAGCTGTGCATGGTAGCCAATCAGCTTCTAACTTCAGCTTGTTCATTAAAGCTTTGACAATAAAACTTAGACACTGATTGGTTTCTATGCAGAGCTGCACCAGATTTTGTACCATGCAGTTTTAGTAAATAACCCCCCTTTACTCTATCTTGGGTATTCATCAATTGGGTACCCACAACTATTTTAAAATTACAAAGATTGATTAACCATCTGTGATTGTAACATTCATTGCTTTAGAAATATGCCCTAAATTATAAAATATGAAAATATAATGGAATGGATTGGATTTTCACCCATTCAAGCAGTGTAACATCCAACACAACATCCAATTGCATTTTAGCAGTCCATAGCTAGGAAAATGAAATCCGACTTTTATGTGGCTGTCATGTTACAGTATACCCTTCCCCCTTATGTTTAAGATACAAACTTTTTTATGATTAACAGTAACCAATTGGTTTAGATTTAAAAGTTTTTAGATCATATTATTGATGAAAGGATTTCTGTGCTATACATGGGGAAAAGTAAAGCTTGATCACAACTGTGGAGATTTTTAATCTGATAAACAAAACAGTTTACTAAAACTTCCTGTTCTCTTTTGCAGTCCAGAAGATACTGCATACTGTTTTTCTACCACCAGAGGGCTCACACAAATATTTCAAATGTTTATTTCCTTATTGTACTACTTCCTAAAGTCTTTTGATTGTGACTAAACTGCAGAAAAGTTCCTTGTTTCCACTAACAGATTTGTGTCATTATTTTAAACATATTTGCAATACTCCGTTTTCTTTCAAATATGTTGTTACTTTAACATTCCAATACCCTTCCACTACCCTTCCACATTTTTCTAATGTCCAGTTTACTTTCTTGAGTGATGTGTATTCAATATGTATATAAAACACACACTGTATTTATACTGACGGCTTCTAAGCTACAGGAATTGCACATGAAAATCAGCTATTTCAGCCTAGTTATTTGGCTAATCCACTTTAGGATTTTGCAGTGTCAGCTGCTTTTGAATGGAGTACTGTAAGATTATGAAGACAGAAGTCTTTCTGGATCCTTATACATTCAAACTGGGGCCTGACAGTGCTTAGAAATCCGGCATGACTGTTATTGTTCCAACATGGAATAGGCAGAACCAACAGCATCCCTGCTTCCACTTATCTAATCCTTCCCATCTCCACTGACAGCAACAGGTATGATTAGGGCCTTAAAGCTCAACTCCATCAAAAATATATGTACAGTATATATTTTATAATTTGAAATGGGGAGAGTTATAACCTCTGTCAGATTTTTATTTTCATCCTACTGGGGAGATTTAATCCCACTTTCTGACGTGGTGACTGACAGACATTATAATCTTTCCTTACTCAACCCTTTAGCCAGTGGTGTCTGTAGGTCCCTCCTAAACATTGTCCTGTGTGGCTAAAAACAGGTGGATTAGAGGACAGTCAACTGATATATGGACAGCTTTATTTTGGAATATGTCTGTGAAGTCTTAATTCTAGAATTGGGTGTGAGCAACTGTAGACCTAGACCAGTGGTCTCCAAACTGTGGCCCTTTGTCTCACTTTATCTACCCCCTGAAGAACTCTCCCTCCACTGATACAAGACCCTATTCCTCTCACTGACACCGAAAATGACACAAACAGTGGGCCATTAATTCTCCCACCGAAACCAATGATGGAGCATTATTCCTTCCACTAACACCAATGATGGAGCATTATTCCTCCCACTGATACCAATGATCAGGCACTATTCCTCCCACTGACACCAATGATGGGGCACTATTCCTTCCACTAATACCAACAATGGGGCACTATTCCTCCCACTGACACCAATGATGGGGCACTATTCCTTCCACTAACACAAACAATGGGGCACTATTCCTTTCACTGACACCAATGATGGGACACTATTCCTTCCACTAACACAAACAATGGGGCACTATTCCTTTCACTGACACCAATGATGGGGCACTATTCCTCCCACTGACACCAATGATGATTCAGTATTCCTCCCACTGACACCAATGATGGAGCATTATTTCTCCTACTGACAGCAACAATGGGATACTATTCCTCTCACTGGCACCTGCGATGGGACACTATTCTTCCCACTAACACCAACAAAGGGACACTATTCTGCTCACTGACACCAGCGACTAAACACAGTTCCTTCCACGGACACCATTGATGGGTCATTATTACTCCAACTGAAAACCAACAATGGACTCTATTCCTCCTACTGACACCAATGATGGCCCACTCTTTCTCTCACTGACACCAGCAACTGGACACTGTTCTTCCCACTGACACCAATGATGGGACACTATTCCTCCTACTGACAGCAACAACGGAACACTACTCCTCTTATTGACACCAAAAATGGGACACTATTCCACTCACTGACACCAACAATTCCTCCCATTGACATCATTGAAGGGGCACTATTCTTTATTCTACTGACCATAGTCACCATGTAATTATTTTACCCCCCACTGGCCACCAATCCTGAGTCACCATCTAAACCCATTAATGCTCAGGCATTTTCTGTTACCAATTGGCCACAGTCTGCCCCCCACCACCACCTCTGACCTAGATTATACATTGATTATTCTAGAAGTCATCAAGAAAGACTAGAAATAAGACAACACAGACTATCAGAGTTTTAAACAAGTGTGACCAAGCGCAGTGAATATGTCTGTATGAGACCCCATGCCTTCATTCACTCTATGGAAAGGAGAGCTGAAGATCAAGAACAAACTGGGAGAAGTGTCTTAGATATAATGTAGAAAAACAAAAATTGAGCAACAAACTAACATTCAAATCAGAACTTCAAGTTGTAGTTTCAGATGGTTACAGAAATTTTTAAATAATAATTGGCAGAAGCAAGGTTTAAATCCTTATTTACAACATCCATTTGGCTTACTTAGACACATCTAAGTTGGGGGCTCTGGAACAATGAGCCACAAGGCCTGTAGAATTTGAGTATACTGTCTACTACAAACCTGGTAAAAATCATGCCAAATTCAGCCAGTACCAGTGGGGGCAGATGTGGCATAGCAAAGGATTCCAGAAGCGTAAGAATCTTTCCATTCAAAAGGTTGGATATTGCTCAGTGATAGAACTTTTGCAGAAAACTGAAAGAAGCTGTAATTCCCCAAAAAGTCTAGCAAGTAGCCATAATGGATTAATCTATCACAAGAAAATAAAATCTGTAAAATGTTTAATTATTTGACAAGTTTAGAGATTTTCAAGGAGACCAATCAGAATAACTTGTAGAGCAATAATACAGTTGCACTGGGCTTACTAAGCAAAAGACAAAGAGTGTTTGGTATGCAGAATGTACAATGTAAGTAAAGCTAGCAAATACAGTATCTGTTCATGAACCCTACTAGCCTACAGTAACTGTTCACAGAGTGTCCATCAGCCATTGATATGCACTGATCAACGGATAAAACAGAAAGAATAACAGCTTAGCTATTGTGGATTTACAAATTTCATACTCACGGATGTTGAAAAAGCCTTGTTAACAGAGCAGGGCCCTACTTTGCTGTGTAAATGGTCCAGGATGTATCATCCTCGGTGCAGTAGCATTTGCATGGTTTTATTTAAGCCTTTCTTTCTCGAGAAAGGCAATAACAGAAATACCCTACATGTGTTTTGGATGTAGTTTATCTCTACAACAATGCCATAAACAGTGTGACCAATTCATCACCTGTCTACATATTCTTTGGATTGACACATGTGACTGAGAGGTGATTTGTATCTATAAAGTCTTAAAAGGGAATTACAGAAATCCATAGAACAATGGGCTCAGTTATAGACATTTGCAGAGTGATAATCCTTTTGTTTTATATTCAACTTAACAATATTTCTTGTAACCCATGTGCAGGCATTCCTGTCAACCATTTAATTGAATTGAATTTAATTGGGCAGCACAGTGGCTAAATGGTTAGCACTTCTGCCTGGCAGCACTAGGGTCATTGGTTCGAATCCCAACCATGGCACCACCTGCCTGGAATTTTCATGTTCTCCCTGTGCCTGTGTGGGTATCCCCTGAGTACTCTGGTTTCCTCCCACAGTCCAAAGACATGCTGGTAAGTGAATTGGCCCCTGTCTAAATTGGCCCTAGTATGTGTATGTATGAATGTGAGTTAGGGACCTTAGATTGTACACCCCTTGAGGGTTAGTGACTGAAGTGAATGTACAATATATATGTAAAGCGCTGCATAAATTGACGGCACTATATAAGTACCTGAAATAAATAATAAATACATATAGGGAAATAGAGACAAATGTAAAGTATGAATGTAGTTAAATAAAACAAAATATTTTCTGAGTGCCCCCTTTGAAATACTACACATTCTTTCAAATACAAACTATTATCCACATGTTATTTTTGTTTCATTTGGGAAAAAAAAGGAGAAAAAAAATTCTATAGATAAGAATGAGAGAAGAGCAAGACACAAAGGCAAATTTCCTTTGCAAAATATTCTATGATCAGGTGATTATTATTTTGAATAATACTCAACTGATCAAAAAATATACAGATTTAATACTGATCTTTACTACACTCCTAAAATAGGCCCATACTTGTGGAACAAATCCAAAAGGTAGATTTTTGTAAAATACACATTTCCTTTCAGAGTTATGAGAATCTAGTAATGACTTAAAGGAGAATTTCTTCTTATATATAAAAAAATAACAATAGCACATGTTTTTGCAGATGAAAAAGTGTGCATTTAATTTTTTTCTAAGTAGCCTGCAGAGCATTGCATATGCAATGCCAAGCTCCTGCAGACACTCAGTACACTGTGTGCCTGTACTTTTTATGGATGGGCAGTTACTGAATGGCAGGAAGAATCAATAAACTACGAGAGTACTCACCTGTGCCCTTACAGTTAATTGAGATCTACAAGCTGTCAGCCGTGGAGGCTGACGGTAGTTGTAGTTCATTCAGTCACAGAACTCTGTGACTGAATGATGTGCCAAGTGGGCAGAGCCTTTTAAATTGTGACAGCGGGTGTGGGGTGAAAATTCAATAGGTACAGGTGGAACATGTAACATGTCCCAAAGGTGAACTTAGCCTTTAAGAGCACACAGAGCAGTAATAATGTGATTAATGCATTAGAAAATAAAAGTATTCTCATAGAGTGAAAAGCTGCACCTTATCCCTATCTATAGTGGCACACAATCCAGTCCAGTCATTGAAAAATAAGCTTCACCAGGACAAGGTGTCAATATTCATTTTACAATTATACACATTCATGCCAGCCGATTGTATACGTTTTAGCCCATGGAGAAGAGATAGAAAGCCCTCTACATACGCAAGTGTCTCTCAGGAGAAACCTCAGAAAAAAACAAATCACTTTTCCCTTCAATACTCAAGTAGTAGCAGTGTCCTCCATGAATAGGAACAACAAGGATAATTTGCGACCCCAATTGTAAGTGACTGATTCAGGCAAGAATATCCAATATTTGTACGCACCTTTAGTTTTAATCCAATTGGTAAACCACCAATACAATCTATTTCATAGCTCAAGAAAACTCTTTTTTCAGGTTATGTTGACTACCCTTATTTGCATAACAGTAGGAATACATATTTTAGGAATTATGCTTATAACAATTTCACTCTAGTGGTGTAAACTTTTGTTTTGTTTGGCTTTCATTGGTTCAGGATGACCTGACTGTGGATGTTGGGTAAGCCTTATAAAGAGACTTGTAGAAGGTCTCCATAGACTCATATACAGCTTAGTTTGAAAGTGTATTTGCCAGCTTTGACAACTTACTAAACTATGGTCCGGTATATTCTGCTTTATTTTTAAGAACATCTCCAATTATGCATACACAATATAAATAGTAAAGACTAGGTAGGTAAATCATTATTCTTATTGAATTGCAGTTTAGCACTTTAAACTGTCGAGGAAGACCTCCTCCTCGACACAGTTATACAGTCCTTTTTTTGCACAGCCATTGATTGTGTGACAATTGACTTTTCAATGTAATAATTTACTTTACATTGCCAAACTTACATTATGACATGGTAGTGATCTATGTTAAAAGGATATCTGATTCTTATTGGCAGTCAATGTGTGTAGGAATGGAAGTAAAGGGAAGCAGACATGATTTCCCAGCAGGTTGTTGTCCAATATTAGCTCTTCCAGACAAGCGAAACCCTCCAATCCATCCAAAGATCTACATGGAGAGAACACAAAGAGGAAAAGAGCATTAAAAGAAGAGTCACAACAAATACACATAAACTTCGGGATCCTAAAAAGCACAGATCCAAAGAAGACGTCCAAAACAAATTGCACTGACCATTTGGAACCCACTGGAGCAGGTTTTTTAGTTACACACAACAGTAGACCACTGCATTTATTTTTTATTTTGTGTAAGTGTGTCAACAGTGTACCATTGGGAAAATGAGAAGACACCTTCCATTTGGAAAAAAGGAGGAAGTAAAAGGAAATTTCCACTGGGGAGATGGGAGGAAGTGAAAGGCAGTCTCCCCATAGTGAGGAAAATCTTCATAATTGGAAGATTTGCCGTCTATGGCTGTGCTGGTGACAATTCAAAATGTATTTTCCTTAATTGTTTGTCATAGTGATAATTCTGAAATAGAAAGAATGAATCTCCCCAGCAAGGACACAGATAGCAATAAATAGTGAACACAAATTCTAACCTTTCCCCACTCCAACCAAAACTAAATAAAAACTTGGTTTTAGATACACTTTAATATAACTTTTTTTAAATTTGACTGGCTAACATCTTTTTATTTGCAATGGTAAGTACATGTTGCTGTTGAATAAGCTAAGTATGAAACAATAAACAACTTCAGAAATGTCAGCTGCTATGTAAAGTGTTCACACTCTATTAAGCACCTTTAAAAGGAAAACTTATATAATATGTATATGCACATGTAATACATAGTGCATTCATGACATAGAATTTCCAGTGCAAGACTGAGCACTGCAGGAGCTGTTTACTTTCACATTTTCTATCTCTATATGAGGAATCATTTGCTTGTGTGTGTCAATTTTAATTTGTACTGCTGAGCTCTGTAAACAGGCTTTATTCAACAAAGTAGCCAAAGGAAGCTTAGGAAATGTGAAAAGGAGCCAAGAGCTCCACCTGCTGGCTGATTTTTGAAAATACAAAATATTTATATGTAATAATTTATAGTTAGCTAATCTAATAAAAAAAAAGAATATTACACTCATATTCCTGTTCATTATAAAGGAGGAAACGAAACACATACCAACAATACATTCCCTTTAAAACATTGTCTTTGGTTTTCTAGGCTTCATTCTATGTAGAGATAATATATTAAAACTCCTTTCAAATGCTTTTATAATCAGATCAGGCTTTTATTAGGATGCAAAGAGAGTGCCTGCCAGGATGCCCCACCCACTTTGGAACCACCTATTTAATCATAAGCTGTTGAGTCAAACTGCTGTGCACTGAGCTGCTAACCAAGCCCCAACCCTGCTCTCCAGCACAACATTCTTTGAATGCTTTGCAAAACCCAGCAGTGGCCAGTTATAAGCCAAATGTCTCACATATGTTGCATATATAAGTGTGGATCATAACAGCAGAGCTGGAAGGGAAAAATGCTTAGCTGCCCATTGTCCCACTTAAAGTAACAGAACAAAAGGCAGCACTTCATATGCTATTTAGATTAGGATAGGAAGAAATTTGATAAGAACACACCAACAGACCCTAAAAGTGTGGGAGTCTTTAGTTGTGCAGTGACTTCAATCTGTTTGCTTCCACAATACCCATTACAATGAGTACTATGAAAAGCACCCTTTTTCAAAATCTTCAGATCCACTGGGGTTAAATTAATAAAGGCAAATATGTTGGTCACTTTGCAAAGGAATTTTCACTTTGTAAGGGAATTTCCCTGAATTAAATAGTTCTGCAGTCTTTCATCATCCAATCCTGTGCAAGAAAAAATAATATTTTTTATTTTCCTTGCATGTGACTGAATATTCAATGTAAAGTAAACTTTCAACACATTCGCTAAGATAAGGGAAAATTCCCTTAAAAAGTGAAGAGCTTACTTGCTTTTAGTAAATTAACCCCACAATGTCCAAATGCTTGGGGAAAAAAATACACAATTTATTTTTCACCATTAACATGCAGCTAGTAATAAACTGTTAACAACACTTTTTACAACTACTTGATGACTCACTAGTAAGTGATTGTGTCCTTAAGGTACAAACTTCATAAAATATACTGTATTTATGTCTTTAACTACCAGTACACTGGTAATGTCCTGCTGGCTATTTTAATAAAGGAAGATAATTTTGTATCTTGGTGTGAGGAATTCCTGTTGCTGATACAACTGATTGCTTCAGTGGAGACAAGCCAGCACCTGAGATGTGATTGTGGTATATGGAGCCTGATCTTGCTTGGAGTGGCAATGTTAATATTTGATAGTATACTGGTAGTTTAAGACAAAGGCAATCTAGGAGTGGAACGTTTCAGAGGAATACAGCTTGTGGAATGCTTTATCAACTTGTTCCAATAGAATTATTCTGAAGCATTGAAGAGTAGGGGTGTATGGCCTAACCAATATGTATTCTACCTACATGTGATAGAAGATGAGACCTGGAGAAGGCATAGTACACACATATTAGGGATTGCCACCAGACACCACACATAAATTTGGGGCTAATTTCATGCAGATAAGGCACTAAGTGAGTTTAATTACCACCTTAATCAGTCACAGAACCTGTGTAATTAATATGTGTTTGGTTTTAAAGGGATGAGGTGGAAACCCTACCACATATGAGGTTTGAAAAGTCAACTATTGGGATGCTGGAATGGATTCACAGAAAAGAATGTTACTATGCTGTTAAATTTTTTGCAGCTTATAAATCCTTAGATTTTGCTTTTCTGCTCTGTGTTCACCTGGTGAGCTGGCCAATAACACTCCTCCTGTACTAGACTGCCCCCACTCTGAATGAAAAAGCACAGGGGCACCCAGCAATGTCAGTCCGAGGGGAGTTTTAAATGTATTAGCAGGTTTAGATACACTAACAAATTGAAGCCACACAAGCAGCTACAGCAACACTTTTTTTTCTTTTTGGATTAAGATTTTACATAACTAAAAGACGATCATTGTAAGCGCCCCTGTCAGTGGTAAATGTTTTTTTTCAACACTCTTACTGCTAAATTAGCAGAAGGTTGTTCTGATGAAAAACAGCAAACTTTCTGGATCACCAGATGAAAAAAAAGAAAAGAAAGACTAAGAAAGAAAATTAATTCATCATCACATCTAAGAATCTGTAACCTGCAATATAATAAATGTTTACTTTGGGTTTAATACTGCTTTAAGTAGTACTGTTTGGACCTTGAAGAAGGGGGTACACCCTGGAAGCTTGTCCTGAAAAATTGTATTCTAGTGCAAATAAAAAAGTATCACGGACAGTACTTAATGTATATTAGTTTAAGATAGCTTACTTGCATAAAGAGCAAGCAATGCCCTGCTTGATTTGTAACCATTTGGATATCACTTACTAATTCTATAAACCACAACATTCTTGCAAGGGTGTGAAGGGCCAGAATTTGCAAGACTGGCTCAAGTACTTGTACACCCAAATCTTACATTGATTAAGATGCCTGCTTCCAAGTGCACCAGGGGTTGTACTACTCAGTTGTTTCACTCAATGCTGACCTTGAGCCTAATAAGTTTAAGTGCTAAATTAATTGTAAACTATTTCAACACAATACTATAAAAATTGAAAAAAAACTATTCAGTGCAAAACCTGTGGGCACAGTCAATCAAAAGCAAACACTTTTAAAAAGCAGGAAATATTCTATGCTACATTTAATGTCTATACAATTATACAGCATGGTGAACACTATAAGGTGGTAGAAAAGGATAACCAACAATGTCCTAAAATCTAGTGAGATGTATTTGTCAATGTCTGGCATCTCCAAGCACCTAGTCTTTTGTAGACCCAACCTCCATTCCCAAGATAAATAAGGCTGTCACAGTTCACCTTCAATCCCTGGGCACAAATTTAAGATGTCATCCATCATTCACGCCTGAGTAAATACCAACCACCCCCCTCTCTGCCTACTCCCCTGCAACATCAATAAATACAGTGTAGGATTGGAGGGTATAATTTTGAGCTTAACTCATTCATAGTTTAGCAGAACTTATTGGCTGTGAATATTTATTTTATCTATGCCTGCCCAGTTTTTCTTTTTTTTAAGCCATTTGAACACTTCATAAGGCCCTCTGTTCAAAACAGTGCATCATGCCCAGTCAATAACACATTTGTGTACTATAAAGGCATCACAAAAATCAGCAATGACAATTTACATTTCCAAAGAAAAATCTAGGACAGTTTGGTATGTATAGTAAAAAATACAAAGCAACCTGATGATTTTAACTGCAAGCCAGAATACCCACTTCAGTGTTAACCAGGGTAACACAATAAATGCCCAATGTTCAATGCTTTTTCTTGCAGAGGACCTTATTTATTACATTTTCTTACATAGGAACTGCCTGTGTTGACTTATAACAGCCAATCGCAATCTAGCTGAACTAAATGATGACACCTGGAATATAGCTTTTTGCTGTGAACGCAGTTAAATTATTACTGTAAACAATTTCACTGCACAGTAGATTCGTGGCTAGCACTTCTGCCTTGTAGCACTAGGGCAGTGGTTCTTAACCTTTTTGGAGGTACTGAACCCCACCAGTTTCATATGCGCATTCACCGAACCCTTCTTAATTGGAAAAATAAAATATGATTTTTAAAATTCAAAACATAGGTATATATTTATACATAGGTGCACAAAATGAACAAAACCATTAAGAACAAAGAACAAAACCATTAAAACATGATTTTCACACAAAAACAAAATAATGAATATTTACCGCAAATCAGTGTGACTTCTGCTGTTGTCTTTCAGAGGCCAGTTCAGAAATGCGCGGCATTACCTTGGCAAGTGCCACTCTCATGTCATTTTCGCAACAAAGTCTGTTCCTTTTCTTCGTCTTTATGTCCAGCATCCTCGAAAAGGATTGCTCGCAAAGATATGTTGTAACAAACGGTATGAAAATCTCCAGAGCTTTCCTAGCAATAACAGGGTACCTCACCATTTGTTGACACCAAAACGTTGAGAGCGTTGTTGATCTGAAAAGTTGCTGTTGAACCTGGCTCTGCTGAAGTTCAATGATTTCATCGAGGTATTCATCATTGACATCTGTTGTCTCAACACTAAACGTGAACGGCTG